GAATTGTGGAGGTTTTTCAAGGATTTCATGGTGTTGATGGAGCTAGTTTTCATCAAGGGATTCATTGTGTTCATATGGGGATTTGCTGCAAACTCGACTGCTAGGGTATTGGGAGATAAATATTGAAAGCAAGACTTGTTTTCGGGTTTTACGTGATGGGAAAGAAAATGAGGCGTTATTTTATTATTATAATAATGATAATAATTGATAAACCATACTAAACCCTACTTGTGGCCAAGTTATTTATTTATTTTTTTAAGAGTTAATTATAAGGACCAAAATTTATATTCAATTAGATAATTAAGATTTTTTTAAAAAAACATTCAGTATTTGATATTGTCAAAAATTGAATTCCAACTGCACTACTACAGGTAAAGAGAAATTAAAAAAAAAAAAACCATATAAAGAGAAAGACTTTAACCATGGAGAGTTTAAAACCCAACTTGGGGGCCAGGTTTTTTTTTTCTTTTTTTAAAATTTTTTTTCCTATTTTAAGAGTTTAATAAAGAGCAAAATTTATCTTCAATCAGATAATTAAGAATTTTTTATTTTTAGAATCCAAAAGAATTTATCACATTATAACAAGTGTAAGAGAGAAAAAAAAAGGAAAAAAAGAAAAAAAGAACATAATACAGGAATATTCTGTCCATTGGATGAAATGTTTAGGTTAATTGCTTAAATAAGGATCTAATGTTTGTCAAAATACTCAAATAAGAGCCTGATGTTTGCCAAAATGCTCAAATTTACCCTATACTTAATGAGAGGCCAGCTTTCGCACTATTCATAGACTGTTCAAAATCTAACAGTGCAATTCAACCCAACTTGGCCCAATTTTGTGCCACGTGTCCAATTGCTTAACCCAATTTTGATAACTAATCCCGACCTGTCTCTGACTCGACTTAACTCGCAAAATTCAGCTCCAATTGGCCAATAATCTGGCGCCACGTTGTCTCCTCTTCAATCCAATTCAAACCCAACCCAATTCTCCGTTCCCCTGATTTTCTGCGATTCCCCTCTGCATCGGATTCATTTTGGTTACCTGCTCCTTTCTCTTTCGTTTATCTATTCTCCTCTTCGGATTCTTCTTAGTTCTTTCTTTCATCAAGAGGCCAACTTTCACACTATTCATAGACTGTTCAAAATCTAACAGTGCAATTCAACCCAACTTGGCCCAATTTTGTGCCACGTGTCCAATTGCTTAACCTAATTTCGATATACAATCCCGACCCGTCTCTGACTCGACTTAACTCGCAAAATTCAGCTCCAATTGGCCAATAATCTGGCACCACGTCGTCTCCTCTTCAATCCAATTCAAACCCAACCCAATTCTCCGTTCCCCTGATTTTCTGCGATTCCCCTCTGCAGCGGATTCATTTTGGTTGCATGCTCCTTTCTCTTTCGTTTATCTATTCTCCTCTTCAGATTCTTCTTAGTTCTTTCTTTCATCAAAAACTTCATCAGCTTTCGGTTTTACAAAATTGTTTTTCTCTCACACAATTTTGGGCTCCAGGTTGGTCCTCCAATGAACTCAGCGCCACTTTCCTCCAGCCATGGTGCGTGCGTGTCGGCTCAACTAGCGGCACCTTAACCATTGTTGACGAATGCACCGGGAAGAAGTATCATGTCTCTATTTCCAGTGAAAGCACTATCAAAGCTATTGATTTAAAAAAGGTATGGTTTTTATAGAGTTAAGCAAATTTCTGAATTTCTGAATTTCCTGTTTGATTTGGTTTTCTCTACTTTAAATTGTGGAATCTACTGATCTTTAGCATCTCGGCTTTTATAATGATTTATAATTTTCTCTAAATTTCTTTATTTGCACCAATTAGCTGCTGGTTGTTTGATTTGAATGTATTTTCTACTCATACAAATGAAATCAACCTTAGCATTTTGTAATTGATTTTGGTAATATGTTTTCTACTCATTTTGGGTATTGGGTATGATCATGCCAGTTGCAGCTTAAAAAATTTCGGTTTACGATGTTGCAGTGTACCATATGGTGGCAGGTCGATTCCTTCATGTTCTCTTTCTGACTTACTAACTTTTGTTCTTCCTTTTTTGGTTCATTGCAACTATCGCATGATATTGATAATTTATGGGTTTTTTTGGATTTGATTGTGCTCTTTCTTCCTCTGTTATATCATCATGTATCTCAAACTCAGGCTCAAACTCTTATCTCCTCTTCTATCGCTTGATGAAAGACCTTTTATTAAAAACATTGGCACTTCTCTTTTTCCTTCCATCACCTGTTTACTTTTATCACCCAAAAGTCAATGCTTCTGGTTTCTTTTTATCTCTTGGGTATTCGTATTTTTTAATTGAGCTCAATTTGCTTGCTTGAGAACTGACATAGGTTTTTATTAGCTTTTAAAGTTTAAACTTCTAATTATGTAATGTGACAAACAATTTTTCTAACAATAGTCAGTTTAAACTTCTGAATATGACAAACCTATTATGTTATGCAGCTGTTATGAGTAGTTGCTGCTTATAACAAATTTGGATTTTTAATTGTCTCCTATATATTGTTTCATACATGCTTTTGGGTAATTTAGGCAGTGCCTTTAACTTTTGTATAATTTCCCCAGCAACAAGCATTACGATTATCTTACAATTGTCCCTTGCTAGCTTTCTTTATTAAAGCAAATTGATTTGAATGTGATTGGTTCAGATTTTAAGTGAATGGGACCATGCTCTCCAAGGCAAACATCTACCATGCGATTTAGAATTTGGCTTTCCAATTGATCCCTCAAGGTTTTTCCTATAGATATGTTACTTTATTATGGGGGGTTTTTTTAGTCCATTAGTCTTTCCATGTGTGGCAAGGTAGCACCCTTGCCTTTCAAATTCAATGGTGGCTTAAATGCGTGTTGGTTTCTATGGCCTTTTCGGTGAGGGTTTAGCTTTAGGATGGAGATTTTCCGGTCAATCTTATCTGATATACTATCTCCCTCCATTGAAATGCACCTTTTTTCCCATTTGCAATTAATTTCAATAATACTCCCCCAGTCCCTAATTAGATATCCACTCTTAGTTAACTAACACTAAACTTTGACCATTGTTTATAAAAAAAAAATATGTAAAATTTAATTTTAAAAAAATATGTGTTAAAAAGTTTGTGATTCAAAGTTTATAAGTGTTATTTTTAAAAATTATTTTACTTTATATATTTTTTATAAACAATGATCAAAATTTAACTTTATTGACCAAGAATGAACATCTAATTGGGGACGGAGGGAATATATGAATTTGACATTTGGGCCATTTTGCATTCCGCTAGAGCCTTAATTGGAAAGGTCTGAATTTCTCATTTTTTGTTAGACTTGGTTAAGTCTTTACTCTTTAGACTCTACTTTTACCATGCAATTATAATTTATAAGTAGAGAAAACTTGCCATTCACTTTAACATGCAGTGGACCATTTCCAAACATGATCATAATTTCTATTAATTGATTTTACTCCTTTTTTGTTTCGTCATTATTTGATTATTATAAATTCCTTATAAAGTAATTAATCAATCTATTTCATGGAAAATTTTCCCTGCCTTACACTGTTGTTTCATATAATTTATCATGTATGCAATAACTAAATTAAGTATAGAAGTATACTATTAACTTGCTTTTTTTTTTTTAGTGAGTACATGTGAAATCTCATTACAATCCGAATAAATCTCTATATGCCCAAACATCTAAATGAGAAATCAACTCAAACTAAGAAATTATTATAAATAAACCATCTACCTACCAAATACACAAATAAACAAATTACAAACTAAACTCATATTCCGTGAGACTTGAACTCAGGACCTCACGGTCCAGGCACGGTACACCTATCAGTTGAGCTAACAACTCGGGTGTAACTTGCTTTTTTTTTTTTAATCAAAGTTTAAGCATTATTGTTGATTTTTTTCCCACGTCATGTGCAGGTTTGTTTTAATATTTTATTCACACACTAAGTCAGGCTGACTTCTTGCAACTATGTGATTGGATTCAACTCTCTTTTCATCTGCCTTTAAGTTCAACTTGGATGGTCCACTTGGTTACCCGTCCAATCCTTCCTCACATAGATAACCAAGTTCCAGGTTGGTAGATAGAGTGCTTAACTTTGACTTTCTTGGTCATCTTTTCTTTGATGTCTCTTTTTTTTTTTTCCTCTTTTACATTGGTGAGTTTTCAAGTTATAATAACATTTAGACCTAATCATTCAATGTCAAGTTTCAACTTATATTACATTAGGTCTTTCAAAGATATTAAAACAAGTTATTATTAGTAACATTTACTGAATATTAAGTAAGACAATGAAAGAGATGTTTTATTGTTATCAACAATCTTAAGTGATCATGAAAGATTGTTAATCTATTTAAGCATCCTGATTTACTTAAAATTGAGGGAATTCTACTTCATGTTCAGAAAAAGTTAGCCAATTTTTGGTTACCTTATCTAGAGCCACATAAGGTTAGATGCCTTAGGTTAATTAGGATTTCTTAGAAGCTTATAGTCTCTTTCTATCTATAAGTTATTCTTACCTTTATGTGATGGTTTTCCATTAAATTGCAGTTGGGAGATTATTACCAGTTATGTTCAAGTCACCAGTGCTTTTAAGGCAGAAATCTACATATGGTTATCATTGTTGAGAGTTGAGACAATTGATGGAAAGATAAAAGGCCATCATATTAGGGTCTATATTTGTTTCTTGTGTTCCTTTTATCTTTGATCAGTTGATCTTCTTGCTATCAACCTTTTCCGTATAGTCCTGTGATAGGGGTTTTCCTAGCCTTGGCGGCCAAGCCTAAAGAAGGAGAAAAGAAATTGAAGAAGGAGATGAGAGAAAAGAAATTTTTCAATTATTTTCCACTGTTTCCTATTGCTCTAAGCAACGATTATATAGTGCAATCTACCTAGGATCACGAACTAGCTATGATCCCATACAGCAGCAATCACGATAATAAAAATAGGAAACAACAACATAAAATTGTCTAAAGTACCAGTAGCTAATTCATAATGCTATTCTAATAATATAATGGAGCTAAGCTCATAATCTTTGGTCCAAACCGGTGCTATCTTGGGCCTTGAGGATTTCGATCTAAGTGTGAGTCCATCATTGCCATGATCTTCAAGAGCAACCTTGTCCTCAAGGTTGAAAAGGGGGTAGTTAGCCTTCATGTCTTCCTTCCATTCCCAAGTCGCTTCTGTGGTTGCAAGGTTCTTCCACTGGATTAAGTATTGTGTAACAGCAACTCCATTTGACACCGTCTGTCGAGTATCAAGAATTGCACTAGGCTCCAAAACAGGTTGATCATTAACAAAGGTGCTCGGCAGTGGAGAGAAGCTAGCTTCTGGAGAGCCGTAGCATTTCTTCAACAAGGACACGTGAAAGACTGGATGAATTTTAGCTTCAATAGGTAACTTCAACTCATAAGCTACAGGACCAAGCTTGCGAAGGATCTGAAAAGGGCCAAAGAAACGTTTGGCAAGCTTCTGTGAGGATCGGCGGTGCACCGTCATTTGTCTATAAGGCTGTAAACGCAGAAACACCCACTCCCCGACATTGAATTGCTTCTCGGGTCGATTTTGATCATACTGCATTTTCATGCGGTTTTGAGCCCTGGCCAGGTTGGTTTTGAGCGAACTAAGAAGTTGTTGCCGTTCAAGTAAGCTGGCATCCAACTGAACAACCTTCGTAGTCCCTGGTAAATAAGATAAAACAGTTGGAGGTGGTCGTCCATAGACCGCTTCAAATGGAGTGTACCCGGTAGCTGAATGTTTCGAGGTGTTATAGGAGTACTCTGCCCAATGGAGAAATTTGGTCCATTGTTTAGGCTTATCACTTGCGAAGCTCCGTAAATAAGTCTCCAAACATCTGTTTAGGACCTCGGACTGCCCATCAGATTGTGGATGATATGCACTGCTGTGGAAAAGTTGGGTACCTTGTAGCTTGAAAAGTTCCTTCCAAAAAGCACTCAAGAATTTTGGGTCTCGATCGCTAACAATGGAAGTGGGCATCCCATGCAACTTGCAAAAATCCTTGCAAAAAATTTCAGCCAAAGAAGAAGCAGTATAAGAAGGAGGCAAAGCAATAAAATGGGCATATTTAGAAAGCCTATCCACAATAACCCAGATATCAGTTTTGTCGTAAGAAGAAGGCAAATGGGTTATAAAATCCATTGATATGTCTTGCCATATTTGCGACGGGATCGGCAAAGGAGTAGATAGTCCCCCTGGTTTAGTGGCCTCATACTTCACTTGTTGGCAAATAGAGCAAGCTTGTATGAATTGTTCAATAGATTGACGCATTTTAGGCCAATAAAAGTTAGCTGCCAACCGAGCTAAAGTTTTCTTGACTCCCGCATGACCACCAATAAGAGAAGCATGGTACTCTTGCAAAAGAGTGAGCTGCAAAGCATGCCCTTCTGGAATTACCACTCGGCCTCGAAAGAAGACAAGACCGTCATGCATAGAGAATCCCTTGTCAGATTGGGAATTAGCTTTTGTCAAAATTTGCTGCCCTTGAACATTTGTGGCGTAAAATTCACGGAGTTCATCTAAGTAAGAGAGCACTGGTTGCGACAAGGAAAAATGAACAACCTGTAATGAATGGCACCGAGACAAAGCATCTACAGCAATGTTGTGGCGACCCGGCTTGTACTCAATCTAGTATTGGAACCCCAATAGCTTAACAACCATTTTTGTTGCTCGGGAGTTTGAACCGTTTGGTTCATCATATTTTTAGTACTTTGTTGGTCGGTGAATATTGTAAATGGTCTCCCAATCAAGTATTGCCGCCATTTATGTATGTCTTTTGTAATAGCATATAGTTCTCGAACATAAGTACTAGCCATTTGTTTCTGTGGTCCCAATTTCTTACTGAAGTAGGCTATAGGGTGTCCTGCTTGTGTGAGAACAGCACCAATTGCTACATTGGAGGCATCGGCTTCGATAGCGAAGGGCAACTCGAAATCTGGAAGCGCTAAAACAGGGGCTGAAGTGAGGGCTTCTTTTAAAGCTTGGAAAGAATTTGCTGCTTCCGAAGTCCAAAGAAAGTTATCCTTGCGTAACAGATTTGTGAGTGGTGCAGCTATGTGTGCATAGTTCTTCACAAATTTTCTATAATATCCCGTAAGGCCAAGGAAACCCCTTAATGTTTTCAGATTAGTGGGAGTTGGCCAAGCAGTTACTGCAGAAATTTTGGAAGGCTCGACATGTACCCCTGCATCACCTATTACATGGCCAAGATAGTCAATTGAAGTTTGCCCAAAACTGCACTTGGATAACTTGACATAGAATTGATGATGAGCCAAGAGTTGAAGCACTATTCTCAAATGCTCAGAATGAGTCTCCATGGAAGGGCTATATACCAATATGTCATCGAAGAAAACAAGTACGAATTGGCGTAAGTATGGTCGGAAGACATCATTCATAATGGCTTGGAATGTAGAAGGTGCATTTGTGAGTCCGAATGGCATCACAAGAAATTCATAATGGCTATCGGCTGTCCTAAAGGCTGTCTTGTGGACATCTTCAAGAGCAACTCGAATTTGGTGGTATCCAGCTTGTAAATCCAATTTTGAAAATACTCGTGCCCCATGCAATTCATCGATGAGTTGATATAGGAAAGCGATCCTTGATTGTTGCTGAATTCAAAGCTCGATAATCCACGCAAAAGCGCCAAGTACCGTCTTTCTTTTTGACAAGCAATACTGGAGAAGAAAAGGGGCTGACACTTGGTTGAATAATTCCCTGTTTCAGCATATCTTCGATAATAAGGGTCATGTCATGTTTCTGGGAATGAGGATACCTGTAGGGTCTTACGTTTATGGGCTTGGTGCCTGGTTGTAAATGAATATGGTGAGATTGCATTCGAAAAGGAGGTAAGCCTTGTGGTTCAGCAAAAAGATCTTGAAACTGTGTTAACAGAGCTTGCAATGCCTCTGGCACCAAAAAAGGAGAAGCATTAGTTGATTTGATCTCAGACAAGGTTAACAAATGAGCTGAAATGATAGACCCAGTGTGAGTTAATCGCTTCAATTGCTGACATGTTGCTAGGCTGATTTGAGCAGGCTTATCCCCATGGAGAGTTACCAAGTGTCCATTTGTATCATAAAAAGTCATGATGAGGGCCTTGTAATCAGTAAGGAACGGCCCAATTCGAGACAGCCATTGCACCCCTAAAACAACCTCAGCTCCCCAAATGTCCAAGAGAAAAAGATCCAATGTAAACCCATGCCCTTGTAACCCAATGTTGATCGAAGGAATTTTACCCGAACAAGAGAGGCGGTCTCCGTTGCCGACCACAACCGAAAATGGTGGTGCAGGTTCCAATCTTAACCCCAAAAGTCTAGCCACCCTTGGTTGAATGAGGTTATGAGTGCTCCCCGAATCAATGAGCACACGTACCTTGTGTCCCATTAAATAACCTATCATTTTCATAGTTTGGTAAGAGGAGGAGCCATCTAAAGCATGGAGAGAGACATGAAATGACGATGGGTCTGTTTCATCCATATCTGGTGGTGGAGGTAGGGGAATGGAAGCCAACGAAAACGCTGCGGGATCTGCACTCTCCAATGGTGAATCAGGTTCGTCCTCTGTTTGCAGAAGCAAAAGGGGGGCTGTTCGACACCAGTGACCTGGTTTATATTGGTCATCACAGTTGAAACAGAGCCCTTTGGCGCGACGAGCTTGCATCTCTGTTGGTGAAAGTCTTTTAATGGGCATGGCAGAGATGGGTTTTGGTTGAGAAGGTGGTGGTAATTTGGGTAGTGTAGACAACAAGGGTGGTTTTGGTTGTGGCAAGGTGAGTGTAGGTTTTGGTAGTGGAGCTCTAGAATAAGCAACAACAGGGTAAGAAGCAGAAGAGGAAGAATCAGCAAGCTTTTCTTCAATTAACGCAGCACAATCACCGGCTTCAGACAGGTTTTGAGGCTTGAGAGTAGACATCTCCCGTTGTATTTGTGGCAAAAGTCCACCAACAAAACAGTTGAGGACGCTAGTAGTAGAGAGCCCATCAACCTTGTTAGCAAGCTTCTCAAATTCGCCTCTGTAATGAGCAACAAAGGATGTTTGTTTGAGCTTAAAAAGGGCTGCCTCATGGTTGAAGTAAGAAGAAGGACCGAAACGTCTTTCCAATGCAGAAGCAAAAGAAGCCCAATCTGATAACTGGTTGTTGCGATGCATCCATTTAAACCAGCTGAGGGGTAAACCACTCATATAAAAAGCAACAAGAGGAAGTCGTTGTTCTGGTGCGATGGCATGAAACGAGAAGTATTGCTCTGCTTGAAAGAGCCAATCAAGGGGGTTTGTGCCATCAAAAGTAGAGAGATGGATTTTGGGGCTTTTAATGTGCAAAGCATCTGGTGGAGATGGAAATTGGGAAGAAGAAGGTGTTTTCTGGGCAAGTGTTTGGGCTGTTAATAACGCCGATGGTGGTGTGGCGGAGGCTGCCTTGTCCAGGCGGGCAACCTGATCGTAAATGGAAGAATTTTGCTCGGTGATAGCAGATGTGATGACTGTGTAGCGAGCATCCAAGGATGCATATTTTGAATCAAGAGAAATCTGTAGCTCTTGTAGTTGAGCAGCAACGGCGGCTGTTACTTGAGCAATGACCTCGTCGGGTACTGTTTTCGGTTTTGGTGGCATGGTGGCGGCGGAAGGAGAACGAAAGCACCAATGATAGGGGTTTTCTTAGCCTTGGCGGCCAAGCCTAAAGAAGGAGAAAAGAAATTGAAGAAGGAGATGAGAGAAAAGAATTTTTTCAATTATTTTCCACTGTTTCCTATTGCCCTAAGCAACGATTATATAGTGCAATCTACCTAGGATCACGAACTAGCTATGATCCCATACAGCAGCAATCACGATAATAAAAATAGGAAACAGCAACATAAAATTGTCTAAAGTACCAGTAGCTAATTCATAATGCTATTCTAATAATATAATGGAGCTAAGCTCATAATCTTTGGTCCAAACCGGTGCTATCTTGGGCCTTGAGGATTTCGATCTAAGTGTGAGTCCATCATCCTGACACGACTATCAATATGTTCAATCCCCTCAAGGACACCGGTTATAAAACAAGGCTCCGAGGATCATCGTGATAATATTCCGACCGTTGTAAATCTCTATACAAGTCTAAATTCCTTTCTCCATTTGGACCTCTACTTCGATACCTGCACAGTAAATTCTCCATCACCCGATTTAAAAACCCCTCGCCCGCGGCGTAGCACAGGCCAAAACCTAGTGGATATTAATGCCAATTGAATTAACGTTCAAAACTATTTGCAGATCCTCCAGAAAAACCACTTGATTTTATTGATGATTTCTATGCTTTATCCGTTGCTCATTTACCCGATGGAATAGTGAACGGGAAATTTGAAGCTCCCGTCCTAGCTAGTATTACTGGATAAACTGGAACAATTCATCCCACATGCAACAGCAATTGCAGCAAATTCATACGAAGATTTGGACAATCAAGTGGTGAAGATGCTGAAATCACGGTTTAGAAACTTTCTCAATGTTGGTCCCTTCAATCTCAGCTCCTTTCACAGACGACAGTCTTGGATGCTTAGATTGGCTGAACAAGCAAGAACCAGAATCTGTAGTATACATAAGCTTCGGAACTGTAATAACCCCACTACCCTTTGAGCTCCAAGCCTTGTCGAAAGCCCTGGAAGAGAGCAATTTGCCATATCTTTGGTCATTCATGGGAAACCCACAGGAACAATTGCCAGAAGGGTTCCTGGAAAGGACGAGTTTGAAAGGGAAGATAGTTCCATGGGCTCCCCAGCAAAAAGTGTTGCAACATGAAGCTGTTGGAGTTTTTGTAACTCATGGGGGATGGAATTCAGTGTTGGAGAGTATTACTGGAGGGGTTCCTATGATTTTCAGGCCTTTTTTTGGGGATCAAGGGCTTATTACCAAGATTGTTGAGTCTGTTTGGGGATTTGGTTTGGGGTTGGAAGGTGGAATGTTAACGAAAGAAGCAACAGTCAAGGCATTGAAGGTGATATTGTCGAGTGATGAAGGGAAGAAAATGAGAGAGAAAATTGCAGTCCAGAAAGAGCTTGCTTTCAAGGCAGTTGAGCCCAATGGTAGCTCTGTTGAAAATTTCAAAAAACTGGTAGAAATTATGAGCTCAAATTAAGTTAATTAAGTGCATCAATAAGATTAAACATGATAGTAGTATTATATAAGTTTCTTTTTGTGATTGATTTTATGTCTAATTTTCAAGTGAAATTTGATACATTGTGATATTGCTAAAACAGCAGGGATGGGATGTTTTCCACAATGCTCTCTTCATTGTGATGGTGTTCTAGATACTTTGATATGTCGTACGGCTGTTATGATTTTGTATGAATAAAAACATGGGGCACCCCTGTTTCTGATTTTAATCTTTCTTTTTCTTTTTTGTTTGATTTTGTGTATGTAGATTTTATCATGGGGCACCCCATGAATAAAAACATGGGGCACCCTAGTTTGTAAGGAATGCCATTTTCCACCCAATTTTTTTATCAAAACGCATCTTAAAGTTTTATTTTTGTACCACTTTACACCTTCCGTCATGGTAGGATAAACGGCTCTATCACGATGTCCGACGTGGCATGTCACGTGTACCAAAAAGTTACACGTGTCACGCCACATCTACAAAAAAGTGACACATGTCACGTCACGTGTACAAAAAAGTGACACGTGTCATGCCACCAGGGGCGTACCTATAGGGGGGCAGGCAGGGGCCATCGCCCCCCTTAAAATCTTGCAAACCCCAAATAGGGGTGAGATTATTATACCATGGCCCCCCTAATTTTTTTTTTCTCAAAGTGGCCCCCCTAAAATTAAACTTGCCCCTTCCAAATTTCCTTATACTTCTATATATGAGTTACATGGGTCATGTATTTGTATAGTTTTTAGATAAAAGTAACTTATTTTAACCCAATTTAAATTTTAATGGATAAAATAAAAGTAATTTATTAAGACCCAAATCCAATATTTGATAGGTTAAAGAAATTTATACTTTAATTTGTTCCTATTACAATAAGGTGGAATCCTCATATATATGATTAAAATTATCCTTTTACAAAAAGCAGAAGGATTAAATTGTTGCATATATTATGATGCCAAAAAAATTGTTGCATTATAAGTAGCCATAACCCTAAACATATCGTAGCATAAGTATTTTTTTCTCTTTTTACAAGTTTCAAGTGAAACAAATCAAAGTAAAGCATTCAAGCATGATTTACAAATCATCAAATTTATAAGTTGATCACAACAACAATTGAATCTTGGATTTATATTTATATTATTTTTGTTTTGTATACTTTATTTAACAAAAGTATTCTATATTTATTCAAAAAAAATTCAATATACTTCTTCGCCCCCCCCCCCCCTCAAAAATTTCCTGGATCCGCCCCTGCACGCCACGTGTACAAAAGGACATGTTAGACATGTCACTTTTTATCCACGTGGCATGCCACGTCGCACACCGTGATAGAATCATTTATCCTACTACGACGGAGGGTACAAAGTGGCACAAAAAGAAAACTTTAGGGTGTGTTTTGGTCAAAATAAAAAAATTGGGTGCAAAATGACATTCCGTACAAACTTAAGGGTGCAAAGTGACATTTATACCATAT